GGGAGGGCACGGGGCGGAGCGGCTCGGGGCAGGGGCTCGCTCGGCCGGGGTCCGCGCGTCGGCGCCCAGGCCGATGTCATTACCTGGCCAGTGTAGTTTTCCCCGAGCCCGGGAGGCCTCGCAGGAGGTAGAGATGTTTCCTAAAGCTGTGGCGGCGCGGAGGTGTCCCACGCGGGGGCGGCGGGGCCGGCGGCCGAGGTTGCTGCTGCTGCTGCTGCTGCTGGAGGCTCAGCCTCCCAAAGGATTCAAGAAAACTCTCCTCCATGGGGTGGGGGCCGGCTGCGAGAGCCCCGGGTTTCCTTTCCTGAAGTCACGGTCTTGGCCAAAGCTGTTGTTTTTGTGGCTCTCCGGCCATGTGATAGATGGAGGGGCGGGCGCTCGGAGGCCAGCCCCTCCTTCCCACCCGACCGAACCGCGCTGCGTGGGAGGGGGCGTCCCTACCTGGAAAGCTGGGGACGCTGGGAGACTGGCAGCCAGGAAAACCTGAGTGACGCGCTCTCCCCGAGCCCCCCCGCCCGTCCCGCTCTCGGACTCCCTCCCTTGCCCCTCGATGCCCTTCGCCCAGTGGCGGGAGGGCCTGCCTGTTGGGACACTGGGACACTTCCCCTGGGCCGCCCGCCGTGGAAGTCAGGCTCTCTGCAACAGCCCTCCTCCACCCCACCCCCGACTGGCCTAGACCTTGAAAGTGAAATAATTTTAGTTGACGATTACAGAACGTGAACAGCATTTTGAATAGTTAACAGTAAAGTCCATTGTCCTCCCCAATTTGTGAGCACCAATATCTGGCTAGTGTCCCAGCTGCTAATACCACTGTCCCGGGCCTCTATCGTTTTGGGGTTTTTTTTTAATCCTTCTTTATCAGCCTGCCAAAAAAACATTCTTAGAAAGCTTTGCTGCCTCAACATAACTTTAAGTCTCTTCATTGGAAAAAGCACCCCTTAAAACTCAGATTGATCTATCAATAGTAGCATAAACTGGGGCTCACGGGAAGGAAAGACCATATTGCTCTGCTTCCATCTGAAAAGACATGGCCTCCCCGGGAAAAGGAGCAGTCTATGGAAATCGTTTCTAGAGAAGTATCCAGAATTGAGTTCTAAGTTCCAGGAACTGGTGAGCGCGAGTTGGTTGATCACCATAGCACTCTCCAGTATTTCACACTCAAGAGTGTGACAGAGTGATCCTATTTTTTGAACCAAAATTCAAGACGCATGGACTGAAAGAGACAATATTAAAAATACCATGCTGGAAAGATCCAGGAGGTATGGTGGCTTTGGCTGTAATAATTATTGTAAAGTACATACATCTTGCTTTTGGCAGCCAAGGTATGAAAATTTTGAAAAGGAATTGCGAAGAAAAGCAACTTCTTAAACAAAATCCAGAGATTTCACAAGAAACTTTGGAAGGAAGGCCCAAGTAGGGAGGGGCTCTGTGCTGAGAATCCAACCTTGGGATTCCCCTGGAGGGGTGGGGGCAAGGAGATGAGCTGCTCTTCCTTGAAAATCCCTTCCTAGAATCAGAGGTAGGATCTTGACACTGCTGGGAAAGATGAGAATTTCAGAAGCTGCTCTACATATTAGGGGAAAACCATAAGGAACAGAGAACACACATGACTCATAAAAATAGCGATGCTTTCATGTACATATCCCTTACTTCTGTGTGTTCTATCATACTTCTTACCAGAGTGTTTTTGCCCAGCCTCAAATACTACCCTTTTCGTTCTAGACTTGCACTATCCAAAACGAGTACCACCAGCCACATGGGGCTGTTGAGCACTTGAAATGTAGCTAGTACAAATAGAGATTAAAATACACACTGAATTTTGAAGGGGCAGTATGAAAAAAAGGTAAAATATCTCAGTAATTTTTATATGGATTAGGTGTTGAAATGATAATATGTTGGGTGCATTGGGTTAGTATGTTATTAAAGTTAATTTCATTTGTTTCTTTTTGCTTTTTTAATGTGGCTACCAGAAAAGTTTAAATTACACGTGTGGCTGGGGTGCTTCTATTAGTGCTGCATGAGACCTCCATCCACTTCTATGTTCCTCTACAGAGGGGGGCCCAGGCCACGTGGGAGGGGGCACAGGAGGACACACAGCTTTGGGGTCTAGAGGTCTTGGCACAAGGAATCTGCAGGGTCTGTGGCAGGTGGAACTGCCAAGTAGAGGCTGGGAAATACGAGTGTGCTGTTCAGAAGACAGGTCTGAGCTAGGGACAGAGTTTTGGAAATCCTTGCCCTATGAAAACAAGACAGACAATAGAGCAGACGGCTGACGAGGGGGCCAGGAGACACCAGCATTTGAGGACTGTGTCTCTGAAGGGCATCTGCCAAGGGAGAGTGTGAGAGAATGGTCAGCCAAGCAGACAGAACTCGAAGGTAGAGAGAGGTGTATGGAGGCCCAGGGAGAAAGAGCTTCAGGAGCAGAAAATGGTCAGCAGTACCTGGAAGGGACCCTAGACGCTTTTCCTTTCCCTCAAACCCCACGTTTAACTAGTCAACAAGTTCTGGCTGTTCTCTCTGATTTACTCCTCAAAACCACCCTGTTTAAAGCTATCTGTCTGTGTATCTGTTTCCTCCCACTAGACCGTAAATAGAAACGATGTCACCCTTGCCACCCCAAGATCTAACAACATAGCCTGACATTCGGAAGATGTATGGGTCCACAATTGTAATGTGGACCTAAACTACTTTCTCCACAGGCAGGTGTGACGGTGATAATGTCAGCTAAGCAGCAGTCAGTAAACATACTGACAGATCTGAGGGCCAGCTTGCTGTTAGCCTGCATTCAAATCTTTCCTGGTTCTATCTAGGTGCCAGCCTCCAGAGAGCTGGGCTACCCTCCAAGTCAGAGGACCCCTGTGATAACACTCCTTAGTGCCCTCATCTCAACCAACCAACTCTTGAGCTCTGGGGTTTCGTTCCATTTCTCGCTTACGTGATGACCAGCACAGTCCCACTTTGCTGCACCAGAAACCACTACGAAGACAGATGTGAAGAAAACTGTAGGTCATTTTCGGCAAATGAAGATACATTCAAATGTTTCTCTAACTGCCACTGTTTAAAAGACATGGAAAAATGAGGAGGTACACAAGAGGGGCTACTGAAAACCAGGAACTTAACCCTCAAACCTACGGTTCCAAATAACCCAAGATTTGGAATGCTTGACTATGAATCGGCCCCAGGTTTCCACCCCAGAGATGCCAAGATGGCAGAAAGTCTGAAGCCAGGATGGACCTTCCCAAGACCCTTTAACACCGTAGAGCCATTTCAAACATGTAGGCAGTAGCTTTCGCAACTCTCTCTAGTCCTGTGTCTCTTCTTTCCCTACCAAGAATTATCTAATTTTTTTACTCGAAAACATACATTAGTCTTATCTCCACATGTATTCCTCTTGTTATATAAGTGGTGTGCATGGACAGGACAGGAAAGACGTCTACCTTTGCCTGCTTAACTGTTTCTGCGGCGGACTCCTGATTGTTCTGGTGCCTCCAGCTTGCACCTGCTGTCACCTTTCTGCATAATCTGACCAGTGAGAGGTAGGACCTTGTCCTCCTCTCTTCTCACACTGCTCCCTCCCTGCTCTCCTCTTCTCCTTCCCCTATAAGCCACGTGGAGGCGGAAGGAAGCTAGAAGTTAGGGGCAGGGGAACAAGGGAAGAGAAGTCATGTGGCCTCTGTGTTCCACCTGGCTGAACTGACAGAGGAAATGCACAGGACTCTGGTGGCCTAGGAGAGGCCTGCCACGCAGAATGTTCTCTGGACAAGGCTGTGCCCCACCTGCTTCTGCCTCCCTGCCTCCCACATTCCATCCGTTACTCTTCAGTGCCACACCCCTCCCCCAAGGGGAGGACCATATCTTTTCCACAGCATCTATGTGCCTCTGTACACAAGGGCACTTGAGGATTATAAGCTTTAAGGAGGAAGCCTGGGAGCAGAAGGGTAGCCCCAGCCCATTTTTCTAAAGCTCCATTCTGGAAATTAGGGCAAGATAATAAAGACAGTGCCTGGGAAAAACTAGGGACATTCTGGAACCCAAATACAAGCCTGGGTAGATGGTCAGCCGGTTTGTACCAATACAGCATAAAGGTGTTTCAGAACGGGTCACTACTTATGCTACACTCATTGTTAAAATATTTTTGTTAATTTTGTTAATGTTTATTTATTTTTGAGAAAGAGAGAGACAGAATGTGAGCAGGGGAGGGGCGGAGAGAGAGAGGGAGATACAGAATCTGAAGCAGGCTTCAGGCTCCGAGCTGTCAGCATAGAGCCTGACACGAGGCTTGAACTCACGGACCGCGAGATCAGGACTTGAGCTCAAGTCGGACACTTAACCGACTGAGCCACCCAGATGCCCCTCTCATTGTTAAAATAATCATAACAATACCCTTGGATAAGGCATGGCAGTGTGGATTCTAATGTATTCATTAGAAATCCATAAATGCCACTGGTGAAGGCCTCTAGGAGAGCAAGGTTTGCCAGATGTCAGAATCCCCTCCGTAGCTACCTGGGCTTGGACCCTGTTGCTGGTCAGCTCCTCCCTGAAATCATCCCATCCTGGGCCAAAGGCAAGTCCAGTTTCACAGTGGCTCTGAGAGCAAGACTCTTACGGAGCTCAAGCAAACACTGAAAACCCTGGTTTCTGTCTGGAACAGACCCACCATCTAGTAGAAAGATAAACTAAAGCTGCATGAAAGAAGCGTAAGAAAAAGCACAGCTATTTTAAATAAAGCACTTAATTCCTAATAACTATGGAAGATGGAGCACAAATATTTAACTTCCACTCCCTCCTTGAAACCCCACTAAAATGTAAGAGGTTTTTTTTTGGGGGGGGGCAGTTAGTTTGTTATTATTTTTAAGCATAAATTATAAGAAAAAAGACAGAATATCACAGTAACAAAAATTTGAAAACTAGAAAGCAAAGACCAAGTGTTAATTTGGCAAAAACAAATAAACAAACAAACCCAAAGCCCCCCAGAAATCCCCTGAGTTATAGAAAGCCACGCGTCAACACAATTTACCCTGCATAACCCCTAAAATTTCAGGCACTAGAACATTTGGGGCTGGAAGTGGGCTTTAACAGGCAGGCCAGTGGAAAGTCTGCTTGGGAAACAAACATCCAGAGTCAGGCAATTGCTCATCCCCTCGAGAAGCCCAGAGGTTTATTCCCTGGAGAAGATCAGACAGTATAGATAGGGTGGAGTAGGAAGTAAGATAAGACAGATCCTCCCTTTCTGAAAATAGAGGGATTAGGTAAATGCCTACTTGTTGCATAATCACCCCCTCATTTCTGTTTTTCAAATATGAATTTTCCTATTTGAAGACTGGTCAATACAAGTAAACTAAAACAGAATTTTGAAAGATGGTGCAATTTTGTAGATGGTGCAAGACCCACGATCCCTAACCAACACCCCTGAGGTCAGATATGTTTCAGAATTCAGAAAGCACGTGTTTGCCTATTGAAGGTACACAGTATGTGTGTATGTGTATATATATA